AAGCTTCAAACATTGAACTAAAACCATCCATTACGGCGCTGAAGTCGATCGGGTTTGGCGCCACATCCATCATTGAACCAAATGCAGTCAGATGTGTACAACGGCAGTGAGTTTGAGTAATGCTCGTCAAATTACTAACCTGCATTTAGATAAAGATATTAAGATTCTGTATTTTGAAGAAGGTTAAAAGCCGTGTTAGTCGTGTTAACGGTAGTGAGTAGGCCCGATTCACGTCTTGTATGTTATCGTCGTAGTTTCGAACCAGATCCAGTTGGTAGGCCAAGAGAAAAGTATATGAGATATATTTCGATACATGAGTTGGACGACGACTGATTCTACCTGTGGTAAACCCTATTCAGAAACTACTCAGGAAAGACATAGCTTTTCAGCCTAATTACTTGGTAGGGACAATATTTAGACGTCGTGTGAAGGCTAACTTCATGCCAATTATGGGTGAAATAAATTGCAAGACATTTGAAACGGGCCTAACATTTTAAAATGTCTTCTTCATCTGTTTCTTCTTTTAAAATAAAAAAGCGTTTGACGGTGACGAACAGCCAAAGGTACTTCTGCGCTCTCACTAGACAAAAATATACCAAACTAAACAGTGGGGATTTCAAGATGACAAGATTGTACAGGTTGTTTAGTAAGGTTATCCGACTTCTAAATAAATATGATATGTGAAGTGAGTGAGTAACTTTCCAAAGTTGTTACCTTAATTAATATAAGGTTAACTTGACCCGGTAACCACAATTTCTTCATACCCTCATACCACACATACCAATTACTGAGACCCTGTACACAGATCGCTAACACGTGCAAGGTCATTGCGTTATGTTTTGAAAAAAATTATTTACTGGGAAATCTATTAAATCATGGCCCATGTTCAACTGATTTATTTCTTACCTGACAACCATCACTCTTCCACTTTTGAAGCCCTCGTTCCAGTATAAGCATCTTGATTTAAACGTCCGCAGCGTGTAGGTGATGTTGTAACTCGTAGTAACAGCCAGGACCCTGGGGCGTTTCTGTAAACTTAATTCCTATGTAGTAAGTTCCAATATACAGGTCTTTTTTTGAGGAAGAAACAGTGATACTTCGCTACCTTGAATCTTCAAGTCGGTTCTTCATGATGCCCCAAATGTTCGAGCTGTTTAACGTTTTCGTCAAGTTAGCGTACTCTCCAGATGATTTTTACCTCTTTGCGAAGCGTTCGTTCTTTCCTCTGTGGTGTTTGGGGAATCATCATGAAGAAACAGATTGGCATGGTTCGTGCTGCGTTTTGTTGGGAGACGCTTCAAAAGTCAAACTTTGTAACGGTAGGAATTTCGCTCGGCTGACGTACACTTCAAATTGTTGTCAGAACCAACTAACCCAACCTCAACGTTCACTGCGGTGCCATTTTTATCAATCACCAGTTTATGAACACGCCATCCGTGGTGTAAAGAGCTGTTATAGACGAATGACTTTGGCGGTTCAACAGAGTATCTCTTTGGGATGAAAATGTTCATTGGATCATCTTCATTCAGATTAGAGACTTTTCAGCTTTTTACCCCTTGCTTTTTGAACGAAAAAGACTCACAACTTTTCCCGAAATGTCTGAAGACTTTTTGCCCCACGTAGGGGATTTCATTCATGGCTGCCATCTGAGGGGGAAATGGAGACACAAGCTAACAACACACTGGGAGGCGCAAGAGGGTTATTTCACTCGTACATTCATGCAGACCAGGATTCCTGTTTTAGACCGTTTCTATTACTGTCCTTGCCTGGTGGAGAGTAAAGAAGGGGAGGGGAAGGAGGCATTTAGGCGCGCGCCCAAATTTCCCCTTCTCCTTCTTTTAACGCCTGCCACGCAGGTTAAACTATCCCGAAGGGAGGTGAACAGTGGTGCGATATTATATATCTGGCGCTGTTCATCGACCCTGAGGGGTATAGTTGTTTTAGTATTTACGAAATCAGCTGGATAAAAATCAAAAGGTTTTTTGTAAATAAAAGGCGTCACTTGGCGAGTTTGTTTACACTTCAATTGACAGTGTTTCTGGGGACCATTTTTATGATTTTAGAGAAAATTCTGTAAGAAATTTTTACCGACCAGTAAACACCGACAAGCCAAATTTTGTCTCTTTCTTGGTATTTGTTGGTACAGCTACTTCATTTACCGCTAAAATTCATCTTTCGAAACTGTCGCGAAACTAGAAGCCATTGTGAATCCTTCCCAAAACAGTGAATATCCGAGGATATTCTGAGTTACGGGAGCCATTCAGAACGCGCGAAAATTGCTATCCACTGATTGGTGAATACTAAAGACGGCTATCTCCACGGCACAACCTCAGTATGAACAATATTAACGAGATTTAGAGTCATGTTACGGCAAACGTAAATTGTACCATTTGACCAAGTTTTCCCCTCTACTTGTCTTTTTACTGTTTATTACTTAAACAAAACAATTACAGTAGCAGATTCACGTTAGTTTCATCCATAAATATTGTTTTGAACAGTTTTTATCTGTTCATTTTCTATTTTTAAGACATTCTCAACTTTAAACTAACGTCTGTGGTTTTTCCGTGAGCGTGACCAAATCTCTCTAATAATACGATGATCACCGTCAAAACTCCCTTTATTTTCCTTTTTGTTTTAACTGATCGCTTGTTTAAATGGACATATTGTGTTCCACTCGTTCTTCTCCCATGAGTTATATTCTGTCGCGCTCTGTATTAAAAAACGGAATTTTTATTCACACCATCTATTTTTTGCACTTACCTCTTTGTCGACTGTGCCATCAACGTTACTCGAAAACAGTTTCCCAGCAGAAGGCATCTGGAACCCGGCTAGCCTGTCGCCTATGGCGGAGCCCCCAAAGAATCTGGTTCAGAACGTTCCACTGCTATGTTCAGCTTTGCAGTGAGATAACACTGGACTGTTCCCCGAAGTTTATTTTCCAGAACAGAACCGCCAACACCCCGAGCATGTTCAAGATGTTGTTAGCTGCGTCTCGGCTCTGTAGGGTATTCATAAATAAATGATATATTTCAGGAAGCCATTACGTAGAAGCCTTCGTTGACTACAATTTAGTGACACGGTGTTTTACAATAACTAAGTTATTACTTGCGCGGTCTTTGGTCGAGAACTACGGTTTGTGAGAGCACAGACCATAGAAATGACATAACGATGGTGCTTTCTCTGTCTCTCACATCCGATTTTCCGGGAATGTTCACTGAAAATGGACTCTAAAAAAAAAACGAACTTTCTAGTCTATACTATAGACCATAGCAATGAAGAAGATTTGAAAACTTTGTAGCGAAGCCATTGGAGACTTGTATTTCCTCCGCTTTGTAGTGATTCGAACATTTTTGACGTTATGAGGCTGTATGAGTATAGACTATGAACAATTGTTGTTTATTTGTTAATTGACCACTCCATAAAATACCATAACATACCATAATGCTCTTTGTTTGTTACCCCAAAATTTTGCATAATCAGTGTTTTCAGTTTCTCTTGGGGCCATGGTATGTTCTGGAGTGGTCAATTGGACTTAAACCTTAATTTTTTTTTTAGATTCCTTTTCCGATAAAGATCGCAAACAGCGTTCGAGCCAGTATGGCAGCTGTTCGTCTACACAGTGCGTCCTTATCTTCATTTTCAATTTTCTTCAACCATATATACACTCTACGTTTTACACTTGCGCCATCGCTGAAATTCCTCTGATTTGCTTAATTTTTTCCTCGACGCTGAATTTATAATTAGCCGGGAAACTGAAGACCCTTGACTCATGTTACAGATGGACTCTCCAGAACGCTGTTGCTTTTCTTCAAAGACAACATTTAGTGGATTATTGAAATTTTCGTCTACGCGATGCGTGAAGTTTAAATTATTTTTTTCTGTTTAACTGCCCCGTTATTTCATCAGAACGGTCTTTGAATAGTCCTTTTTGGCTTTTATGTTTTGTTTTTCCAATTCAGATCACATGATGATCTCAAAGGAATTTACCTTTTTCTCTTTCTTCTATAAAACATGTGCACGTGGTTAGGACGACATTTGAAAGAAACAGTTCTCTGAGGTACTATCACGTGGTCTACAATGGGAGGACAAAACACACAAACCAAAAAGGTCTATTAGAACGAATTGCAGCAAACCTTTGAAGATTCCTCATCAAGTTCTACAGTTTCCTCTTCATCCGTAGAATTTCCAGTTGCCTCTTGCTTAGGTTCCGTGCAAGTAAAAATCATAGGGTGCACAGGTAGGAGGTGCGCCGTGGCGTTCCTTTTTGGGGCTTCACCATCACAGAGCTCCCAGCGGCATTTAGAACGTATCCCATTCCTGACAACAGGGCTCGGCACCGCTAACCACTGCATCAAAGCCCGCTAAATCGTCAGAACTGGCTTTTTAATACCTTTGACATTCTTCAAAGGCCGCCGTTGATGCGTTCTAACAAGAAAGTTTTTGTATGAGTATCTCTTTCATTAGTTTTGATCATGCTAATAAAAATTAAGTAAAATATATGAAGCAGCTTTCTTAAGAATTTTGTTAAGGTTTTCTTTGTGCGTTGGAAAGGAGGATTAGGGTGGAAGTAATTTGCCCCACTAAATATCGTGGTAGGTTGTATTTGCTGCTCCAACTTAGCACTAATCAAACGATTAAGTAACGAGGCCTAAAAGAAGAAGACTAAAGGCAAATCACTGTCTGCGAGCCAAAAGGCTGATATTCTCTTCTTTTTACTTCACTCGCCCTATGCTTTCTGAATATGTCCATTAATAAGGCCTTTCCTTGTAACCATAAGATAAATAAGGCGTGATTTTTTTCTGTGGATAAAGAAAATCAGTAAGATTTCGGGAAGCCAAAATTGCCCAGTAGTGCTGAAGCTAAGTTATTCTTACCATGCTCGCAGTCGAAGTTTCATCTTTAAACTTCGACGCACCTGCGATCATATTGGCAGACTGTTGTAATCCATCCAGGCTGTTCACCGGAAGTGATGTCGCCGCTTTAACAATTGCTGTTCGCACCGCTTTTCTTTTTTCTTTCCTTGCACTAATATCCTTAGTATCATTAGATGGAGATTTTGTGCTCTGCGCATTAAGCAATGAGTTGACAGCACCAGCGAGTCTCAGGGCCGCTTGTGTGTCTCCCACGCTCACCAATTTTCCTAAGTCGCTGTTTTCGCCTGATGTCATGTCAGCCAGCTTATCACCAAGTTCATCCTCTTTCATGTCTGGCTCTACCGACTACATCATTAAGACAATAACATGAGCGCTTGAGAATTTCAAACTTATGAATCATTTAGGTACATATTCCTTCAAGTCTGATAAAACAAACATCTTACCTGCAAAGATAAAGAATAGTTGGCTTCGCCTTTGTAGAAATCCAACACTTTCACCTCAATTTCAATTGTATAATTATTAGCTGGGTCTCCAAGTGGCAGTTCTGCGCGTGTGAAGTTGTGAAGTCCGTAGTAAAACAGCACCAGCTTTCCTTCGTTTTTATAGAAAAATTTGTAGCTCAAGGGCATGTCTGCATCGGTCCAGCCATCGCACCAAATATGGAATTTAGTCATGAGTGCATTTCCCCTCAGGGGGAAAGCAAAACAGGCCCCTGCTCGAGGTACCTCATTCGTCAGTAGCATACTTTCAGTCTTCCCTCTTACACCTTTCTCTCTCCGGCTGTAGAGACGAATACGGTACCCGGTACCTCCTTCAAGCACATCCTTGGGCACCGTGAATACGGGACCACTAGGATCCTTTACTTCGCTTTGCCTGATGTCTTGCACAAGCCCCAGGATTCAGTGGAGTCACTACTGACGTTTTTGTAAATTTGCCATTCGTAGATCAGTCGCCCAATGCATCCCTCAAAACAGGTCGCGAAAAGTGCGAGTCTCTGTGACGGATTGATTTTATCTGCGCAATTTTGTTTACATCTGTTTGAAATAATTGGTTGATAAGGTTTGTAAAAGGCTATTGCAACAACAATTCGGGCAGCAAACGTTTTGTTAACATAAGATTTGCATAACTGCTGACTTGGTTAATTGAGCTAATCAAGGTAGTGCGATTGCAAAGACTGCCTGTCGCATCCCTTAAATAAAATAAACACTTGTAGTATCGCATGTACCTAATTCAATTATATTGCTTGACAATTGGGCATTGGACATTGGTGCATACGGAACTCACTGCAATGATTTGCTTGCCAGTGCCCAAAGCAACCTTAATCGTGAGTCAAGTATAACTGAGTATTTTCTCTTTTTTTAAGCCAAATATTTTGAAATGGGTTACCCCAAAACAACGCATTAATCGAAGGACACTATAATCACTTACTCAATTTTTTGTCACTGGTGGATCACCTGTCACAACTTCTATGACTTGATACTGTTGAGCTGTCCTTCCTCCTTTTTTGTACGATTAAAAATACTACGTAAGTCTCCTTCTCTATCATTTTGGCAGTGTCAAGACTTAGTGTACCGCTTATTACCATTAAAGATAAACTGTCCGTCACCATAGCAGCCTCTGGAGTTTGCACTGCTAGCTGCTGCTAGTTTCTTTTGTTGTGTCGTACGGGCATCGCAGGGTCATGTTTGGATAAACTGTTGTAGGGAATTGAGTGTGAATACTTCTGCATAACCAAGTGTAATGTAAACCTGAAAAAGAGAAGGTTGGCCCATTTCAAGGGCGGCTCCACCGAGTCAAACCTTGCTTGTCGCTTTATTTCATGTGGTTCATTAACAATGAAATAAGGAAATGACCTGGGAAGTAGAAAGAGGTTCGATTTTCTAATTAGCCAAGTGAAACTGTTTTACAAATGCATTCAGCAGCATTCTCAGCATTACAACACTTAAAACGTCTTTCTTCAAAGTTCCAGATACCAAACTAAGTGAAGATACTGTGCTTCCTTTCGAGTTTTCAGCGCTCAAAAGGCTCAAAATCAAGTATAAGTGTTACTTTCCTCCATCGCCATAGTATCGTTGTCAAGTGGATTTTGGTATCTTTTTATCCCTGCTCCCTAACGAGGCCAGGCCAGGAAACAAATTTGGCCTCCCTGAGCCGGCAGGGTGTAATTAGGTTTGTTGGTTCGATTTTATATCGGTACCACAATTTTACCAAAAACAAAGAAAAAGGAGAAGGAGACGGCGACTGAATACTCACCAGAATCTTGTCCGGTTTCCAAATCCGGGTCGTTCGACTGAGTCCCTTCTATCTTGATTTCCTTACCAAATCCCCCTGGTGATCAAATTACCGCCGTCAATTTTTGCTACTAGTGGCGAAGGAACAATCTTTAGGGAAGCCAATATCTGTACTGCGGTACTTGTCAGTATCAGGCAGCGCCATCCGTGCAGTAAAGTGCACTTCATATAAACCATACCTTAGTCCTTTTCTAGGTATGTTGAGTTCTCTTTTCAGTTCTAATTATGTTGGCCCCATGGATGCTTCGAACCCCGTTTTGGTCGTGTGAGATTAATTGCCAATTAAATTCCACCTTTGCTTGTTCTCTCGCAGTCAAGCTGTACCGTAGTGTGCACAGTGAAGGGGTCATAGCGGAATGACCTTGCAGCCGTGTTAGAGCTAGCACCGAGATGTTCTATCCATATTTTTGGGCTTGCACAAGGAGCATACACAACCTCCACATCTGTCTGAAGCTTTACAAAAGACACTGCATTTGAGGCGTTTAACGTTACCACGTACTCTCCTACTTCATCATACACATGCTTAAACTGGACGCTCTCAACCGCTGGTATGACCATAAGGTCTGATGTTGCGCTTGTTACTTTGCACCCTGGATGACCATATAAGGAATGAGTTCCGTCTCCAAAATCAACAGAAAAAAGCAGGACTCTGTGCCTAGCTGCTTGGCACTAAGGTGAAATTCGACTGGCTGCTTGAGTTTTTAGGACTGTTGCTTTGTAATGTGGCATTCTCAATGGCGTAGTGAATAATCACTGTGATGTTAGCGTGTTCCTCACTCACCATATTTTTTGATCAGCACCGACAAATTGTGTGCCCCAACCTGGTAGAATTTGAGCGAAACAAGACATTTAGAACCGAGTTGCTGGTCAACATCGTCATTTTCCATTCGCATGATAAGTTAGTTCCTTTGGCCAGAACTTCGAACATGATGGAACGACAAGCACGGGAAAGTAGTCCCCAGGAGACCGAAGCCAGCATAAGACCCACCGGGTTGTGGTAAACTGGCGATAACTTTGTCAAATTGGACGGGAATTTGAATGGCTGCAGTTTTCTGGGCTGCAGTCCACGACACCAGATTCTGAGCAACCACTACAACTTTGAAAATACCAGCCGTTTTATAGTGATCAGGTGATACAGTAACCGCTCTATTGTCCCCAAATAATGCAAAAGTCAAGTTTGCAAAGGTAATTTGGAATTCAGCATCGGTACCATTCGCAATTTCCCACGATATCACAAACGTTTCGTTAAACCGTATCGCAGGAATGTCAAAGATCTTTAAATTTCTGATTGGGTCTTGCACAATAATTTCTTCTGTGGTGTTCGTGTAACTCAGTCTGTTTCTGCACTCGATAAAAAGTCGATATTTTGATGCTTTGTCGTATGCATACCTTACTGGATAACGTTGGTTTCGAAAGTTTTCTGTGGGCGTCCTATCTTCTCCTAAAAATACCTTCTTCGCAAGTTTTAAGTTTCGTGGTATCTTTTCGTCTCCAAAGTCGCAGATGCAATGAAAGTCTGACCCTTGGTCGATCATAAGAATAATCGGCGCTTGTTCAGAGACATTAGATGGGTACGCAGACAGCTTTACCTTCTGAAGTGGGAGGACTGGTTTATGTACTGTGACATTTACTGAAACTTTAACAGTAGAGACGTTGTTACTAGCCGTCGCAAGAACTTCATAACTCACGTTAGGCCTTGACTCGTAAACATCATTGTAACCGTATTTGTGCGTTACTTTTCCAACGTAATTTTTAACCTTATTGCCATCGTCAAAGTCAAACAGATAGACAAGATTTGTGCCTGTTTTGACTTGGGTAGTGAAGGTGACATTTTGGTCCATTTCTAGGTCCCGTGACTCAAAGGAGACGTCAACAGTCAGGCTTCCAACTGGAACTTCCGCCAGGATCACAGCTGACCTGGTTTGAATTGGACTTACCAGGTTGCGAGCTCCTACCCGAATGACATATTTCCCAGGATTGGCGAGGACCACCTGAACAAAAACCCCATAGCTCAGACATGTGGAGAAAATTGATGCTTGCTCCAGAAATATTGACTTCAAATGTTGCGTTTGTTCCTGATAATAAGGTCCAATAGACTGGAAATTCTCGGCCGACGATCTGTACAGGAACCTTTGTGATGTTCAGCCCTTTAACAAGGGCTTGAATAACGATTGGCACAGAAGCGTATTCTGAGCTCAGGCGGTTTTGGCATTTAACGGATATGTGGAAAATTCCTGTAGATGTGTAAGTGTGTTGGACAATAAATGTCAGATTTTGAAAAGGTCGTTTGTCTGTCGTCTTGCCGTCAGAATAGTAGCCAAGTCGCTGATAGCTGGAATTCAGGCTGGACCCATCCCCGAACTGCCAGACGCAAAAGAAATCAGAACCTTCCGACAAGTAAAGGAGGATATCACTTGTGTTGCTTAAAGAAGTGGGTGACGAACTGATGGAAACCTTCTGAAGTGGAATGACCGGTTTAACAACGTGGATGTTCAGCAGGGTGACTTCCTGACTGACATTGTTTCTCGCCGTGATATTCACTACATACAGAGAATGAGGATTGAACTTATGCCCAACAGTATGTTTCCTCGTGACAGTTGCTTCGCCCCATCCATAAAATCAACCAGAAATTCTGGATTACTTCCGTTTTTCAATTTGATACCAATGTTCACACTTTCATTTACCTCAATACCATGTGGCCCTCCAATAACATATGCCTCAAGACCGTGGATGGGAATCTCCACGATCGCATAACCATGGAGAACAATCGGCTGGGTGACACGGTTCCAAACGGTTAATGTAAATTGATGAAAACCCACCGACCGATAAATATCTTGATAGATGATGTGAAAAGCCCTTTGTCCGACGTTTTTGTGGGTAAAGCTGTAACCCTTAAATGATACTTTAAAGGAGGTGTTAGTTCCCAGTGTTATTTCCAATGTAATGTTAATTGGGTTTGAGTATGGTCGGTTCATTTGGGATCCAGCGTGCGCCAGTCACTGGCTCCTGTACTATGGCGTCGATGTTTGATGTCTTTTCGCTGAGACGGTTCTGACAGGTGACTGTCACAGAATAAACGCCAGTTGCAGAAAAATTGCGCTTGATAGTGAATGTCACCTCAGGTGGGTTGTTCGAAACATTGTTTTGTCCGCTCACTGGATCCCAGAAGGATTCTCCACGAAGGTCATATATTTGGCTATAGTTAGGAATGTCGCTGAATAAAGCATTGCAAATAACATCGGAAGCCCTTCTTATGTGGGCAGTTATTATCGTGGGCTGCAAGAATACTGTAGGTTCTGTGGACAGGGTGAGATATTCTACTAACAAAACGGGTTTATGAATTTTGATCGAGATAGAGGTGTTGTAGACCGAAACGTTGTTGAACGCATTTATGGTAATCATAAAATCTCCATAGGTTGAATAACTCAAGTTTGTTTTCAAATTTCCTGTTGTAATCGGGCTTCTACCATCCCCAAGTCGACACTGTATATGGATTTGCACCGTTCTCCACGTTGGTGTGTGTCATAAAAAGAACGAAAGACTCGTTAACTTCAATGTATCTGTTCGAATGATACAAAACTGGGGAGAATGGTTCCACTTGTTTCTCTATGCGAACTGCGCCTCTACTACGCAGAGTTACAGTCACTTTATTGGATGCTGAAACTATGATGCTTTGTTCACCCTAGACCCACGTGATTGTCTGATTGCACCCATGCCCGACCGTAAGTTTCGTTTATTGTTTTAAAGGTCTTGAGCTGCTGTCCAGCAAAGCTCGCAGTGTATTGAATATCACTCCCACTTTGGACAAGCCATGTGATTTTAAACTGCTCCAGATAACCTTTAGGAGTTATTCTTTCGATAGCAAGCCCGAAAATGGGTGCTTGTACGATTACCATTGTTGAAGTATTGGCTTGACTTAGTCTGTTCACACAACTAACATGTAAGTAGTAATCCCCTGTGCCGTTGAACGAATACGTTAAGTTGTGTTTTGTTCCATGATTGACAAAGTCTGTCTCTACTTGATGGCCATCGCCGAGATTCCAGTAACATTTAAAATCTGTGCCCTGATCTGATATCAGAACGGCCGAAAGTGGAGATGGAAATGGTACAGGCTCAGTCACAAGGGTCAGATTTCCTAAAAGCACTATGGGTTTTTCTATAGATACAGACGTACTGATGTGTAATGATTCGTTCCTGCAACGGCTGTATATTGTAGCTCCCACAGAGAAAACTCCGTGTTTTGAGTACTTATGATGTATGGTGTCCTGGTCTGTGATAACGATAGGACTTCCATCCCCGAGATCATACTTGTACTCGCTAAAGCTGACGTTCTTGTCGTTGATAACCACTATCGTGATGGTTTCATTTACTTCGACGTACTTGCTTTTATGCCGCACCACTATCTTTAATTCGCTCACAGGTTCAACTGATAGATAATAACAATGAAAACGTCCTTTAAAAATAAACAAGCTTTGGTATACTGAACAGGCATTGTTTGAGCCTTGCGTGGCAGACAACATGCCTTATTACAAAATAGTGGTCTCGTAAAGTGACTCTCTTGAAACAAAAAAAACTTTTATATTATCTCAAACTGCGATGAATGACATCTTTCAGAAATAAGCTAAAGCATTGCTGTACTTACAATCCAAATCAATGCCAGGGGGAAGGTGATGAGGTGCTGAGGGTTGTGAAGAGCACTTTTGGTAGCTTGTCCCGCTGTTCAGGGATGCACACATTTGAATTGAGATTGGCAAACTCATTAAATTTGTGCATCCGTAATAGTGGCCCAATAGTGGAATCAATGTAAAATAGTGCTGTACTGACCAATCAATGCAAGGGCGCAGGTGATGAGGTGCTGAGGGTTGTGAAAAACACTTTTGGTAGCTTGTCCCGCTGTTCAGGGATGCACACATTTAGATTGAGATTGGCAAACTCATTAAATTTGTGCATAAGCAATAGTGGGTCCAATAGTGGAATCAGTGTAAAGTAGTGCGGTATTTACAAATCAATGCTAGGGTGAAGGTTATGAGGTACTGGGGTTGTGAGAAGCACTTTGGTAGGTTTTTCGGCTGTTAAGCGATGCACACATTTGAATTGAGATTGGCAAACGTATTAAATTTGTGCATTGACAATAGTGGGCCCAGCTCATATGGTTTCTTTCAATTCGTTCGGTTCTGCAGTAAGTAGTTTGTCTTTATGACAAGCATTTTTTTATACTTACAGGGCTTGCATGCTATCCGTGCCTTTTCGATTTGCAGCACAGTTAGAGCTGTAGAGTAGAACTGTAAACACGCCAATCTGCCGCTAAAGTATTCCCCTGTGTCCCCTTGTCGAGCCCCAATGCGAACAGCAAACTGCGTAGCGATATCAGCCAGCCTATCATAACGGCGAGAAGCAACTGCCTGTCCTTCGTGCCACAATTTAACAACCCCTGAGGAACCATTATAAGTCACTCCAATGAATTGCCACTTGTTAAACCCAAGGATTCTAGCCTTGTAGACTTCAGGTTGATACCTCACGGTATCGCGAGGGTTGATTCGTGCGCCTAGAGTCCCTTTACCATTGCGGCTAGTCTCATAAATCTGGACTCCGTGACCATCTCTCTTATAGTTTACAATAGGACCAGACCTCCCTAACGGGTACACGTACAGCAAGATGGTGATGGAGACCTTCGTGTCCAGGTTTCCGGTGTTGGTTAACTCGATGTAGGAATCCGAGTGGCCCTGGACTTCAATGGAACCACCTAGCTCACCATGAATGCCTTGGGAGAATAGGGTGCCTTTTGAGATACCTTCTCCCTTGTGCGGCGAGACATCTTTTACGCCAGTTTCGTTGTTGAATGGATATACTGCGACTGGCAGTTGAGGGAACTCGCAGAAATGATAATAAGCTGTCAAGAAATAAAGTCTGAAAGTTACAAACTACACATTATAGTAGATCCAGTTAACATTTGAAGATGTAATCGAGACCCGAGTTGATCTTGTTCCGATACAAATCGTATGGTTTTGTATCAAAAATCGTGTTGTTCTTCAGCATTATTTTCATTGTAAAGAAAACAAGGCTTGTATTAAACATGTTAAAACCATGATGTTGGTTTCATCAACCAAGTTGATGGGGTAGATTGGGAGATACAAAAGATAACAATTGGAGAGCTAGCTGTTGGTGATTCGTTTTGACGAAAGGCTAGCGCTCGACTGAGCTTCTTGATCTTCCTACTGTGGCCAATCTACCAACTGTTGACTCCTGATAACTTGAACCTTCTAGGGAAATGGAAAAAAAGTGCGAGTTATTATCGGGAGGTTCGAGTTACCGAGGGTAAAATTGCAGAAAGTCTATATAGAGGAAATCCAGGGGAAATCGACTTTGGTTCGAGTTAACGCGAGGTTTGAGTTAGCAAGGGGGTCAAATGTAATCAACTCATTTGACGAAACTCTCAACTAAATCTTTGTATTTTATTCCCCACCCTCGCAACACTTCAGTTTCTTTAGAAAGAAACCCCTTCATTCATGATTAGAGCGTACCTCATGCATTCCAAGGCAAGGGTATTGATCGTACAACTGTAAAATAGTGTTTCCAATTATCTTCACTTGAATTATTTACAGATTCCTGTGGTGGTAATTTTTTCTCTGAATTCTACTCTACAACCTATTTTTGTTCTTTCCCTACCGGTTCAATCGACCCAGAAATGTAATAAATGTCTTTTTAGTCACGTTTCCTAGAGGTACGTTTCTTTGGGGGATCAAAGAAGAGGTTCGCATTCTTAGATTTTTCGGATTCATTTGGACTAGGTTTGGGCGAAGATAATCCGATGAAAATCGAGAAATGGATTCTTGTTTAGTGTGATTCTCGTTTATATTTTTTATTCGAGAGAAAACTAGGAAAACTAGGAAAGTTTTAGCTGAGCAGTGATAGCAGGCCTCAGTCAATAAAAGGAAAAGTGAACGAAGGGAGAGGCGATTGAGAGAGAGGTATATGAAAAATTCATAGGGGCACCCAACGACAATTTTCGGAAAAATATCTGTTCGGAAGACGATTTGAGATCTAGAATTTTCGGAACATTTGTTGTAAAATTTCTTGCTTGCCTGTCTCTCCTAGGATTTTCGAACATCTTAAAAATGGTATAATTGCGTATTTTTAACGGATTTTTACCCTAAAAAGGTCACCTAGAATTTTCGGGAGCCTTTTTTCAGGTTGAAATTTTCGAAAAGGTAAGTTTTGATCCCTATAATCGGATCACTAGACTTTCAGCTAGGAAATCCGAACAGATGAAAAATTTTTAGGGGATTAAAAAAATATGCCTTTATCTACCGTTTAAATACTAAAATACTAAAATACGTTTAACAATGCTATGTTTAAGTGCTTTTGAACTATATTCTCGTTGGGTGCCCCTGAATTCATCTACGAAACTACCCTGACTAAGCAATGATAGGAGCCTTATCAGTGGCGGATCCAGGGGAGGGGCCCCCTTTATTTTTAGACCAAATGAGGCTCTAAGACACCCCCCCTCCCCCGCCCCCTTATCGGAAGGTCTGTATCCGCGACTGCTTATAGATATAGCTTAGTACCTATTTTGTAATTAAAGTTGCGTGCGAGAGGGCGTTTCAGAAGTGTTATGCGAGTGACTTACTTAAACACCGAAGGAAATCTTGTTAATTCTAACGGATCATTACAAGGCCAAACAAGTTCAAATTAGAAATGAGATTGGTTGATTAAATTATCGTCGACCGATTAAATTTGAACCGAAAGGTCTTAGAATTGAGCTGGAGATTTTGAAAGGAACTGAAGCAGCCAAGTTTATCAAACAATTGATAGGCTTTTTTTGTTTGGTTATGTTACTTCATATCAGGTGTCCCCGACTTCCATTAGCAATAGTCTGCCTTGTCTAAATAATAAAGGTTTTCCGTGTCAATACTGAACTTTGTTTAGTCTTGGACACCGCATTTGATACTTGAAAGAAAGTTACGATTAATTATAATACATCATGCATTCTGAGGTTTACACACTGGGTGCACGATTTTAAAGTCTTAAACAGCGACTCATGCAATTTCAAGCAACGTCTTAAAGCGCATTTAGCTATAAGCCCCTGGAAGTTGCTCGTTCAGGTGTAATTATATTGTAACAGGTCAAGCTTGCCCATATGCATACTGACCGTTATTCAGTTGTGTTTAGCGTTTCGGTTAGAAGAAATCGCGGGAAGTAATTTAAAGCAACTTTTAAAGTCATCAGACAATACTAAAGCTTGCAAGGTAAGTCTTTAAATCTCTTTAAAGCTGAATGGTTACACCTCTATCGCACCCGAGTCATTTAATTAATGTTTCACGGTGACTTGACAACGGGTGGTTTTGCCAGGATGTATCAGTAGACAAAAATAATTATACATACCTGCTCTAAATTGTATGTTTACTCATATCTTGAAATTTATATTTCGTGGGAAGTTGATATTTAATTGGAACACGTATACGTCCTACAGATTCATCCATTTATTTATTCTGTTCATGAATGTGGCATGACATTGCCTTCTTCTGTAAAAGTTTAATTTTTTTGGTGACGCAATAGCCTCAAGAACAACGTCCCTTCTTATAACTCAATAAAAGAAGTCCTGTTGTAGAACCAAATTTTAAAGACAAGGATTTTGCTTACTGAGGAAAATCGTTAAACCATAACTTTCTAAAACCTACAACGTAGATGCTTACTATAAAAATTAGGTTTCTAAGAAGCTGCCCACCTACCCCTCCCCTTAGTTAACATTAACACCTGCTTCTCACTTAGGCAAAATGATGGCTTAGGGGAGGGGTTGGTGGGCAGTGTCCCAGAAAGCTAAATTGATGCAATTTAAATGTAGGAACGTTTGCGCCGTCTTCAGAATTATATGATTATGCTTTTTTGACGTTTAAACAAATGGCGAAATTTCAGAAACGAAAGTCGTACTTAAATTACTTACGCCTGTTATACAGTCCACAGACATGGATTGACAAAATTAAAACCACCCCAAATTTTTTTCTGTAGGTAGGTAGAGTTGCTATGTCGATCAACATACGATGCAGCATTGTTCAGTATTTTTACCTTTCAACGATAGAAGTTCTGTGTAAAAATCAGTATGGCCTGCGCAGAGATGTGTTTTTATCTACAACCTCAGATAAAGCCTCAGATCATGGCGTGGAAAAAAAACTGCTTTTCAGAAATAAAAACTATCAGGGTTCCTCTATTCTTGGATGAAAATGTCAAGTACCTAAGTGATGCTATATTGTCACTATTACGAGAAGTTTTACTCGTACCAGATCCGAGTTTTCCATAAGACAAGAAAAGTAATTTTACCTTGAGATGAATTTATAACCAAATTTCCCTCTGATCCGTACCCACTTACAACCTTTAAGAAGAAAAAAAATTAATGATCACTCAAACCAGTAAGAAAGGAAAGAAATGTGCCTCAAACGCTCATCAAATGCGTGATTTTATGAGTCAAAACGGGGAAGAGTGGAATACAAACGGGCCCTGGAAAGTAACATGACAATTTCCTATTGGAACAAATATGCAAAGTGAATCAGAATTGAATATTTTGAGTGGCTGTAATTGTAGTACCATCGTTGTAAAGAAAACTGAAGTGAACACAATGAGAGATATATGTACGTGAACAAATCTCATCAAAGAAAACAGAATGTCACTGTAACTATAACTTTCTATACGGCCAGAATCATTTAATTAGTATCTACTGAGTAGCATCTTATTTTTGTTACAACCGAATATGCTAAATGTTTAGTCGAGCGATGATCTTTACTTGTAAAAATGCCTCGGATTTGAACTAAGTGTTAGGGTAATTTAAATACTTACCACGCCAAAATATGACCAGAAAATACAGAGTTTTAAAATTAAAACCAACATCGTTATTATAGACCCACAAAGATTGATTGTGTTTTTGTTTTAGGCATAAACTATCATGTTTAGTTTGTGAATATAAATGCAACATGGCAAAAGGTGTCCAACAATGCCCGTAAATCTAACGTTACCAACTTGGTCAATTCAATTTATATCATGCTGTTTGTTACGTAACTCCAGTTCTAATAAGACGAAGCGAATTAATAATTTGCCGCAGAGTCTTCCAAAATCTTAATTTCCTAATCTTTTAATAGTTTGTCCTACCTGCATTAAAAACCCCATGAAAAACAATTTCTTACTCATCTTTGTTAGGCATCGTAGCATTTTTCGAACCACCGTAGCATTGCAATGAATTGGAGAGCTTTTTAATAGCTTCTTGCTAAGGACTTGATATTTTTCCTTCTAACAACTATCAACTTTTCCAACGACGTTTTCATCATCTTGTTTAAAGTTACTTATATTAATCCAGTTTGGCAAGACACCAAATGTGGCAGCAGTATTTATTAACCTGTTTGTGAGATTAGCTAACTGAATTAAGGATGACATTTCACAACTGAAAGTTTATCAATTATTGATTACAGGCATTCGCGTAATAATTTAGTTGACTCATCGCACGTGTAGTAGCACAACTTCCTAGAAGCTTTCTAACAAACACTGAATAGGAACGTGCGCTCTTTTGTGTGTCAAATGAACTCACAAAACCACCAATTCATAGTACCCATATACAATTAAATACTAAGGGTCGGTTATTTAAACGAAGTCTAATTTAGACGGCTGTTTAAGAAATCTTTGGATCTCCAGATCTCGCCCATGGTGGGTTATTTCAAAAAGACAAATGCTTTTCCAGTATACGCTATATGCTTTCATGAAACTGTTCGCGATCATTGGTGTTTACATAAAAGCGTTGGCATAGAACTGAAAACGGCTTAGAATTCGGTTCTGTTAAAAACGGGCTCAACTCCTTTTAAATATTAACTGGCTCTAAGATTCTTACGTTTCAACTTATATGTAAATC